CATTTGATTATTGTTGCCTTGATGCCTATGTCTCTGTTTGTATTGGTCATATGCGGTTGCAGGCGGAGCTTGCTACAGGGTGGCGAAAAATTACGTGCGCGTGACATTCCGCTTCGTTTAAAACATTGTAGGAGGAATTTGTGTGTGCTTTTTCTTTTCAAACTCTTTGTTAATAGCTAGTTATTGGTTTGCAAAAAAAGAAATTTGTTTTCCAAAGAACCTATTCAAGTTGGAGTGCGATTGCATGGCAAGCAAACTGCTCGACTGAGAGCCAAACGATTTCTCCGAGGCTCACAATTTTTCTACGAACCGTCCAAAAAACTGGAAAGCATTAGAAAGAGGAAGACTATCTCTTACCTAAACCCGTAAGGGAATGAGAACGGATTACCAACACCCGATGTGTGAGAAAAATTATTAAAAAGAGGAATGACCAAAAAGATGACCTGAGCTTGAATAAGAGGGCCGAACAGAACCAAGCCTTCCCGAGAATTGGTTCAGATGACAGCAAAAATAAGTGCGGAATGGACTATATCGTATATCAAACGGGCAGTTTCCCACCCTCCAAGCAAAGCAAGATCGGAAGGAAAAATATAAGAAGTTGCGGGAATTTTTCGAGGTGCGGCGGTCCTAGGACGCCTTGTGGCTTCACAAATAAAAATTTACCGTTTAAGTGCCTTAACCACTCTCACAATCACCTTTAATCTTTTACATCAGCTCTTAGCAACATCCTTAATTGGAAAGTACCCAGAAGAATCTCGTTACCTGAAAATTTGATGGACTGAGGCTGGATCACTGCTCTGAGCAGGCCTGTACAGGTTTTTATTGATAAAAGCGCGGAAATCAATGGGAATGTCTACCAAGAAGGGATCCTTGGAAAACTATTACCCCCTGAAAGCAGAATCATAACATTTCTGTCTTTTTACAGGAACGCGCTCGGGCCCATGGACCAATACACCGACCCACTTCTTCGAGACCAGTATCGGCTGTTTTGTGGCGATGGTCTGCTCACAGTCCGAATTCAGATCCATTAGACTTCTCTGTTTGGGGTTTTATTGAAGAACCTAAGGAATCGAAATGCAAAAGTTTGGTGATTCTGAAAAGAACTGCCTAAAATTT